GGAAAGCACAGAACCCATTACCCGCTGTCCTGAAGGCGCAGTTCCCGAAGACCCACCACCAGCTCTTCTTGAAGCACAACGCTTCCGTTCCTTCGAACATGTCAATAGAATGACTCTTCAGCGTCGCCGGAGATGTATTTTCAAGGAAGTGGAGAAACATAACTGATGAAAACTTTAAGAGGCAGCTACTGCTTACATGCAACGACTACTTAAAAAAAAAAAAGAAGAATGAACAAAAAACATGAAACCAAAAAAAGTTGTGTATTTGACTGTCAAAGTAACGTGAAAAGTAACTCGTTACTTTTGAGGTAACTTACGCGCTCCTTTTTAGAGTCGGTAACGAGTAACGTATTTAGTCACTTTTTCAACGAGTAACGGTATTTAGTAGTGATGGGACGAATCCCTGGAGATACGCATTCGGACAGATTCGGAAATTTCCGAACTTCCCGCGACAAATAGTCGGAGGTTCGTTGCTGGTTGCAGACGGTAGCATGAACCTTGTCGTAAACCTCACGAATGCGGTTAGTTGTGTTTTTTTAGGTACTGTTACTGCATATAACCAGATTTCGTCTGGTTTATTTCAACGTGTGGTATATACTGTACCGTAATTCTAAACCCTGGCACGCCCCCAGGTCCAGCGGGTCCAGCCGATCTGATTGATCGGTGTGGTTGATGGAGGCCTAACCAATGCACGGTCTTGGTGTCTGTGCGGTTTCGCGGTGATCGTTAAAATGTAGTGAAATGCTGTGTATTATACGTAATGTGGCACAACGCACAATAAATATATATTCAGGCAAGAAAGTGATTCATCTCCTTCTCTTGAGCTGCGTATGTCTACTAGCTGTAAGGCGCGAGAGCAAGATGAACTTCGACCGTATACAGGCATTAGTGCGTTTCTCCGTTCTCGGCAGCAAGTCGGCCATGAAACGTTACGCGTTTCATTTGATGAAAAAGAAACAACACAGGGGTGTCCAACGCAACTTTACTGTTCGGAAACAAACACTGTAACTAAATCGGATATCAATAACTAGACAAGATACTCACTTGTGCGTATCTTTCCTGGTACGTAACAGCACGTATGTCATCAATCTCTTGCAGCGATGAAAACAAGCGCTTGTATTTCCACGTGCACTAAGCATGCCTATTTTGGTCGTAATCTGGAACCGAAACCAATTTTCCCGCGAAACAGTTCTCGACAAATATCTAAAATAATATAAACAAAGCGGAAACATTTTATTTATTACTACTATTATATTATATTACAACATTATTTTGTGCACTCTGTAAAATATAGTGAATTTAATATGAAAAGTTGAAACACCAACGTGATCTGGCAACCATGGAAACGCTTCGAATCTTTCCCAACTTTTCCGAATCGCTTGAGATTCGGCTACTCTTCCGAATCTTCAGATTCGGCTCCGAATCCCGATTTGGATAAAGATTCGTCCCATCACTAGTATTTAGTTATTTTTTGGGGGTAACGTGTACAGTAAAACCTCTTTATAACAAAATGGGTTATAACAAACTAATGGATGTAACAAAGCAATCATAATTCCTCTTGCTTTCTAATATTCGGAAGAAATGGACAGTGGCTATAACAAACTAATGGTTATAACGAAATAATTACGACCGCTCCTTCAACTTTGTTATTAACAAGGTTTTACTGTAGATGTCTGGTGCAAGGCCAGGGAGCCCCGCCCAAAATAGTGAGCCAGCCAACCACCGGAACTGCTCCACCTTGGACGGACCGCGCAAAGAGACGTCGTCTACCATCGACCCACCAGATGAGAATTTTGGCACTCGCCGTAACTTTTTGGAATTAGCATATTTTGAGTCGGTTAATCGTAGTAAATTTATCAGTTTGAAAAATGTGGCTGTGAACACAGATTTGTGACCCATGTTTTTGTAAGATTTATATTTAATATTACAAAAATGATTTGTGCAAGGTGTATGCAGTGTAACTTTCCGACTACCACTAAATTAAAATTTCTTTCTGCTTTTGTCTTAATTCTCCGTCTATGTCTTTTCATTGGTCAGACTTTCTACCAGTGCAGGGCGTTAAAGATAAGGATAAAGAGACGTGGGCGGAATCCGAGCAGCATATTATTAAACTATGCGTTGATTTGTTCCATATAAGTATTGAGCCGACGGAAATTGCGCGAGCACATCGCATGGGCTTTTCCAAACAAAAAAAGAAACTGTGCTGTCATTGTTAAATTTTGTTCTTTTGAAAAAAAAAAAAAAAAAGACGCCGTGATGTCATCCGCACATAAACTGAAGGGCTCTGCATCTGCTGTAAGTGAAGACTTTGCGCCAGAAATTCGGCTTGCTCGTAGGAAACTGTTAGACTTTGGTAAAGCTCAGGAGGGCTCTTTTAAACTACGGTACGATAAGCTGTGTATTGGTGACCGTACATTTATTTATGATCGAGCTTCGCAAAAGGTAAAACAGAAGAGCTGGGACCAAGCACGTTCCTCTGCTGAGAGTACTGCAGAATGAAATAAGGCAGCAGCCACAAAAGTAAATAGCCGTGAAAAGCAAATTCAAATTTCGGTTGTGAACTGCCACAGCTTTAAAAGTAAAGACTGAATTATGTTGCCTTATTCAAGGAACTGACGTATTTTCATGATTTAAATAGCAACTCTGCTATTTAAATAGCCAACAGCAAAAAATAATTTTGGCGATTTGTGAAGAGAAATAAGAAGGCTGACACTACCATACCGGCACTCCTTTTCGAAGGCGCTGATGTCACTGACGACACTGCGAAAGTGAACTGTTAAATGAGTACTTTAAATTCATTTTCAACGTCAAGATTCCAGCTGGGGAGACGTTACGTTTGGTAAATCTAGGATATGATCCAATGTCGTCGCCTATAATTAAATACAAGAGAATCGAAAAGCCGCTGCTTAATTTTGACACGTCGAAAGCAACCGGGCCTGACGGCATTCCTGCTGTCGTGCTTGAAAGCTGCGGATATATCCTGTTGTGCTATCTACACATCATTTTTACAAAAAGCTCATCTGAACACAAGCTTCCAGAGGATTGGAAAACTATAAATGTGGTGCCCATCCACAAAAGCGGTAGCAAAAATGTTTCTAGTAATTATCGGCCTATCTCGTTGACATCGATGGTATGTAAAATTCTAGAGCATATTGTTTAAAGTAGCGTAATTGCACATATAGAGAAGCAGGACTACTTTACAAAGGAGCAATATGGTTTCCGGTCCGGTGCATCATCTACAACATTGTTAGCTGAATTTGATCATGAAATCGCACTTGCAATTGAGTCCGGAAAAGAGGTAGACTGTATTTTTTTTTTATATGTCTAAGGCATCTGACTAAGTGGATCATTTTCTGTTACTGAGTAAGTTAGAGTGTTTTAATATCATTTTCAATGTTTTAGCCTGGATTGGTAACTACTTGAGTGATAGAAAACATTGTGTGCTTTTGAATGGTTGTTCATCCAATAGTGTGACTGTGACATCTGGTGTTCCCCAGGGTTTGGTATTGAGACCTCTGCTCTTACTGACATATATTAATGATATCTGTTAGCTACTTCATCACGCTGTAAGCTTTTTTGCTTGTGATTGCTTCATATACAAAACCATTGAGGATGACGAAGATTATTTAAACTACAACTAGACTTGGACCGTGTGTCAAATTGGTTCAGCGATTGGCAAATGGAGCCGAATATAAGAAAAATGTAAAATAGCTAGATTTTTTAGAAAAAAGCAAGATAGAGAAAGTAGGGGCTATGCCATTGCCAATCAACAACTTGATAAAACAGATGCGATTCGTTATCTCGGTGTTAGGTTTTAAAGCGACTTACTATGGAATAGTCGTATTAATTTCATAATGAATTATAAAATTAGGTTTTTTAGGTCGTAATTTTCGTCACTGACCAAAAGAACTGAAGAAAACTATAATTTTCTTTTGTTTGTTAAGTTCTGGAATATGTTTGCAAAGTCTGGGAACCTTAAACTAAAAGACTATGGGATAAATTAGAACAAGTTAAAAAGTCAGTGCACCAGATTTGTCTTGAATAAATATACATTCAAAGCAAGCGTCACGGCTATGAAAGAACATATACACTGGCAACTGCTCCTATGCAGAGAGCAACTGCTCCCATGCAGACAGAAAATGCGATGTTATCCCGTTTGTTGCCTTCTTTTTTTCTAGTTTTTGCGTCATAATTCATAATCATTTTCTCTGCAGTTTGATCAAGTAATGAATAGCCAACCATACCAATTCCCAGCACTGGTATCTTTCAGTTTTAGTTTTGCTCATCAAATTTGAGGACGTTTGAGCGCAGGTAAAAACTTTGTGTTGGCGACTGTTTATTAACCCTCATCCTTCTAAACTTTGCAGGCTGAAATATCCGGAAATCCTCTTAAAGCAAGTGTGAGCGATCCTTCGCTGCCTGGGAAAGAGTGCCAGCCACCAGCCAGACCAACCTATGGGAGAGCCAGACCTTTGGACTACATTTTCCCCCAGATAAATGGGACCAACCAGTCGGATCAAATAGGGAATGGCCACAGCTCAGCCAGCTACATGCAACATTTCCATTCCCATCTTTACCTTTGTTCGCCGACACACCATGTCCATTTTGTTCACGTGTAATTCTCAAAACCTATGGCGGTGATACATTGTAGGGTGTTTGCTTTTGTAGCATGACTGCCTTTTTCAGCACTAAAAAGCAGGAGCGCTGAGACTAAACCATGCTCCTTGATCATATCCAGATGTGTCTTTCATGATTTGTGTGGTTCTGTATCAAAGTAATCTTTTACCATATGTTTAAAGGTGAAGTAAAACCTTTGAAGCACGTATTAATAGAGAAGGATCGCTTTTATGTTTGATTCACATGCATTTTTTACAATTGACTTTTTCGGGATGCTCACTATCCAGTTATGATGCGCGTGTTTTTTCGTGATATAATTATTTTACATTTGGGATTACACCACAATACGAATGTAAACTGAATTCCTCTACTTTATCTCCATGATGCATCCCCTGTTTGCTTGTTCCTTGAGTTCGTTCTGGTTGGGCTTCTGTATTGGTGTGGTATAAATAAAAAGAAAGGAACTAAAGAAAACTTTATCTTCACTCCTTACAGAAATTTCCCAGGCAGCATTAGACTACGAATGGCACGGAACGAACTGCGAGGGCACGGGGGTGGCGCTCTCGTTCCAAGGAGTCGAATCGCAGTGGCAACCATCGAAGATGGACCAGGAGGGGAGGGCAGACAGCAGTGAGACTTCTGCCCCCAATCTTATGGTGCCCACAAAAATAACAGCACCAGGTATGAAAAGACGCAAATGGGACAATACTCATCCAGCTTCACAGCTTCTTAAAACACCCTTAGTATTTGTGAACGGTCCCACACGGATAGAAAAACTTTTTGTATGCTAGGTTTTCCAGAAGGTGGAAAATCTGAGGAGCCTGATATGGTACACAAAGTTTCTCCCACATGGAAACGTCTTTCAGGTTTAGTTAGCGCCCTGCAACAAGCAGATGAGCATACCACATTGAAATAGTTCTTTTCCTTAGGAAGAGGGGGAAAGGGGGAATAAAGGAGTTACAGTCCGAAGTCCAAAAATGACAACTCGGATGAAAGCAAACAATCAAGCTGGGCTCTACTGAAAGAATGTTTAGTCTGAGCACTTGAAGTTTAGCTTCAGATTGGCACTTGAAGAAGTCCGAGCACTGTCACACACACTATAAATTATTTTTAACGGATGAAATAGCCCAAAATATTTCGCTGTTTCATGTGATTGAAGATTTTCTCACAACGTTATTTGTGCCGCCAAAGTTGAGCTTTACTGGCAAATGTCCATACCAATACAGATTTGAAACAGCGTTTTTCGCTGTTTCGAATAGCTTGTTAAATACTTGTCGTGTACCTTAGCCAATTTTGATATTTTCTAAGGTACAAAACAATTGTTCTACAAGCCTTTTGGATGCAATTTTGTGCAATCTAGTAATCTGTGGGTCTGTGGAAGACCCTTCCAGCGTAACTTAATACACAGCGCTCGGTACTTGCAGAGTTTTGCAGCCGCAGTGTTTTAGGCATTACCGATAAAAGTAACGATATACATTACTTGTTACTGTCAAAATGAAGGAATGCGTTACCGACCTATGTTAGTTAAAAATAAAAGGAACGCACTACTGTCACCGACAGAAAGTAAAGCACGTTACTTTCGCAGCATTTTTTATTTATAAAGCAGCGATAACAGTGTTTCTTTGTGTGTGTGTGTGTCTCTTTTTTTTTCTTTTTTTTGCGACAGCGTTTCTTGACACTGGGATAACTGGTGCGGGCGTTGGGATTTTTCTAAAGTGGAACATTTTGCGTAGGGAAAGGGCAGGAAAAATGTTTGAAAATATGTAGAATGAGTGTAATAATTAATGACTTGGATCACATGCTACATTTCAGCTTAACTCCACATGCAGCCGGCTCTCGGAGCTAATGGGACTAATCAAGCAGCGTCAAAAGCGCAAGTCACTAGGCCTTTTTTGTTTTTAAAATGAAGTATAAAAACGCGGAAAAAAATATGTACTTTTTTTCTGGTTTTCGGAAGCATACCAAGTAACATAATTACGTTACCCGTTACTCAAAATAAGGAGCCTAAGTACATTACCCGTTACTGTCTTGGAAAAGTAACAACTACGTCATTACGTTACTGAAAAAAGTAACGCCTTACCGGTATACGACGTTACTTGTAACATCTTACCACCAACGCTGTGCAGCAGCAACCACGGCGGCTTGAGTTTCCTTCTACACTTGTTCAGCAGAACGTGCAAGCCACCACAGCTGCCGCACCATGGGGCTGCCAGAGTCGAGTCTTTAACGATCGCCTGTAGATCTTTACAAGCATTGCGATTGAGCCTTAACATCTGAAACGAATGAATACCTACTTTAAACTGCAATGCGTATAATGTAGGTATACAGGGCCATGATCATCGAGGTACTCAAAATTCATGTTCAGAACTATAAAAAAAGCTCTGACCTTTCTTTTTTTGTCGTGTCATCCAACAGGTTGGATCGAAGCATACCATAACGATGAAGTGGATATCTTTGACCGTGACAGCCGCAGGGGTGACACCTCTCCCCAGACCAAGTGGTTGGACCCACTCAAGCCGCAAACGCACCGACAATCGGACAAGCACCAGTGCAGCTTCTGTCCTCACTCAAGCTATTCCGCAACGGCTGTAGCCATCCACGAGAAGACTCACACTGGCGAGAGGTCCTCGAGTTGCGGCGTCTGCAAGAAAACGTTCACGAATAAGAGTAACTTGGTAGCTCACGTTAGAATTCACACCGGAGAGAAGCCGTTCAAGTGCAACACGTGCAGCAGGGCTTTTACTCAGAAATGCAACTTGGTGGATCACGAAAAAATTCATACAGGTGAGAAGCCGTTCAAGTGCAACACGTGCAGCAGGGCGTTTATTCAGAAAAGCAAATTGGCAAATCATGAGAGGACTCACACCAGAGAGAAGCCGTACAGGTGTGAGACCTGCAGCAGAGCGTTTGCGTCTAATAGCTATTTACACAATCATCGGAAGATACATCGCAAGTGATTGAAACCATCACGTGTGTTATAGCTGTGGAGGGGTTTAAACGAAATACTCTAGCTCCTACGTGTGTTCACTTCGTTTTGCGATAGACCTGCAAAGGTTCTGCGCGTGAGCAGTGCAGGTTTTTGCTTGGCTCAAAATTTTTGAGCTTGTTATTTATTGTGTAATCACAAATAAAAATGTCAATTTTCCTTAGAAGAAGAGAGCAAGGTTCTTTTTTTGTGCAAAAAAGGAAAACTACTGGAAGCACTTTTTTTTATTAATTTAGAGTTCTTAATCACATGCTACACCTGCAGTCTCTGGGTTGTCTGTAGGTTCACTTATGTTGCTTACAGGTTGGCCTGCTAATAAACAAAAATATACGAAAAATTAAAATAACTTAGGTCTTTCAATAGCAACAGGCTTTAATTATGTAAAAGTTTAAAAGGTATAAGAAAGAAAGAGTAATGCCAACACAATTCTAAGATATAAGAAAAATTATATAATGAAAACTAATTGACACACCAAGCTGGAAACAATGCTTTGCACATAGTAGTACTGGAACGCAATATACAACACTCGAAGTATTAGGAATGCAATGTCTTGTTTCCTTATACTATTACTGAAATTTTCCGCGCTAAATTTAGCGGAAGAAATTCCTCGCTAAATTTAGCGGGAAAATGTTTCCGGCTAAATTTAGCGGAAAATTTTTCCCGTTAAATTTAGCGGGAAATTTTCCCCTAAATGGAAGGCAAGCAGGAGAAGAGGAGGGGAGGGTACTGATAAGGAGGAGGTGCATACCCTCCCCTTTGTACCTTCCCCCCGTTCTCCTCAAGAGCTGCGCTCTAATTCGGCGTTACAGGGGATTGTAAATGTCTTTCATTTTTTTCATTATCCTTTTATTGATTTGTATGCCTTTGTGGGCTTTACTGTAGAAAAGAGGAGTGTACAAAGAAACAAGATATGGAAATACAGGGTGAGCTCCCAAAACGGATTCTGAAGAGGTAGGAGACTGGTAAATAACTTAATCGTCCCCACTCAATGTACAGAAATAGTAATGAAGAACGAACCTCCTCTATGGTTAGCTTTTTTGGACATAAATGAAGTGTACGAAAATGTAAGCCAGGAAAAGTTCAGGGGTCAGCTGAGGGACTACAACTTAGATACAAATTTGGTTAGGTTTCTTCCTCAGGTGTACACAGACAATAAAGTAGTTACAACATTGGAAGCAGAAACTACACAACCCGCAGCAATGAAAACAGGGCTCAGGCAGGGCTGTCTACTGTCATCTCTTTTCTTCATGATACATCTCAGTGAAATAGAAATTAAATTAACTTAGGTTCTGATGTGAGTTATATGGAAGTAGGGAGAAATGTAATAGAGGTAATGCCAGGACTGATGTATGCGGACGACACTCATGGCAGTTGTCCTGGAATGTTACAGGAACGAGCTGGAATATATGGAGAGGAAGGGGACACATGGGGTGTGAGTTTTAGCAATGACAAGTCTGCAGTAATGGTGTTTATTGACGAGAAGAGGGAACCCCTGAGAATACAAGACATTGTAATAAACCATGTAGAAAAATACAAATATCTGGGAGTTTCGCTCAGTGAGGGAAGGAAACATGAGGAGAGTATAATTAGAAAAGGAAAAGAAATTCATATGTTATGAAATAAAGACACTGTAGAACTAAATAGTGGTCAGGGGTATATGGAAAGGAGTGATGGTACCAGGACCGTATTTCGGCAATACGGTAGTGTGCATGAAATCAAAGGTTCAATCAGGATTGGAGGTTTGACAAGCGTAGGCAGATTGGAACTGGGAGCACATGGAACGACACCAAATGAGGGGAAGTATACAGGGGGACATGTGTTGGTCGTCTTTTGAGAGTAGGGAGGATATTAGTAAGTTGAAATTTTAACAAAGGTGGACCGAAATGGGTGTGGGAATGGGTCATGAAAAGATTTTACACAAAATGGACAAACCGAACCCGAAAGCTTACGTTAAACTACCTACACACTTGTGATGGGGCTGAGCAGACTACCCCGGTAAAGAAGGGAGTGAAAGAGGCAGAAAGGAAAATGTGGGAGGTAAGAATACACGAAAAAATCAGTCACAAAAACAGGACAGAAGAAAGGAAAATGTGTTTGACAATTCAACGGGAATTTCTTTACGGCTCGAGGCCTGAACGTGAGTGTTGAGGACGAAGACGTTTAGGGATAAATTTCAGGAGAAAGACACTTTATGGCCCGCCTACCACAATGAGGACGAGACGCTAGAGCACTTGGTTTTGGAGTGCACGGGGCTTCGCCCTGCCCTTCCTGAAGGAATAACGGATTTGACCTAGCTCTGGGTTTCGCTGCGAAAATGAAATGACGGAAGAGAAGAGAGGGGGGGGGGGGGGGTTAGAGCCACAAAGAGGTGATTTGAAGATTGGTGGAAACTATAGAAAAAAAACTTGAATGATACACAACGAAATAGCACAGCTGGGAACAGGCGGAAAAGAGGAAAATTGGGACTCCCTCTCGCGTGGCTCCGGCCCAAAGTCTCAACCCTGTCTCCCAGCTGGTCACGATGCTAGGGCAACGCCGACGAGGTTTGACCAGAGGAAAATTGCCGACTTCCTCCCCGGGGTGCAGGTGTTAATTTCTTGCGGATCCCCCAATGGTCATCCTGGGGCGCTATGTTGCACGTTATGGACTCCCAGGAGACTAGGCAGAAGGAAGTGACGTCAACAATGCAGCAAATGCAGATTGTATGTTGATTTCATTTTCTTCTGTCAACATCCAATCTGCATTTGCTCTAGTCGTTGACGTCACTTCCTTCTCCCAAGTCTCCTGGGAGTCCAAAACGTGCAACATAGCCCCCCTGGTGATATCCAACACTGCATGGTGATAGTGAGGGTGATCACTCTTTCATATCTTTAGACTTAGGCTAGGTGGCGCTAGCTACTGCCCGTTACATCCATCCATCCAGAAATTGTCTGGCAGCTGACCAGTCAGAAAATTTCTATAAAGCTCTGTTTTCTATCTGTTTAATTTTTCTGTTACTTAACATATATTTTCAGTTTCTCACTAACATATATTTATGTAAATTCACAAGTTCTGTTAAACCAATCGCAGTTAAAATTCGGTACAAAAAATATGCAAAATAACAATTTCCGTTATATCAAGTTCAGGAAAATGTGAGGGAAGATAATTTCTGCAATATTACACGTTTCGTTGAAGCAATTGAGTATATGCGAAATGAAGAGCGCCATTTAGTAGCGCGACGAGTGCTACGTCCGCCATCTTGGTAGCGGCGAGAAAATAAAACCAGTGACCCGACCGGCAAAGTCCCGACGTAAACAAGCGAACGCGCTTCGTGCGAGAGATGCGATGCCAATAAGGAAGATAGAAGAGTAGGAGAGGGCATGACGCAGCCTCCACAAGCCATGCTCCCTTGACGCCTCGCCTCTTTCTCATTTTTCCCCTTTCCTCACTTATCAGGCCAACGTGACCACATCACGTGACCGTAGCTAGCCTTCGATCTGCTGATAAAACCTACTGGACGGAGCACGCGCAAGCCTGCAAGGAATCCTCTACAATCAACCATCCATCTCGCACGTGAAATGTCACGAGCACCAATGCACCCCAAGGCTCTGCCCTCGCGCCCATTCTCTTTAATATTGCATTCATCCAACTCGCATGGAAATTGGAACAACACAAACACCTCAAGTTTCTAATCTACGCTGACGATGTGACGCTCTGGGCCACCCATCTGGACCACACTCAACATCAAGATATACTTCAACGAGGGTTGAACATGTTAAAACAGAAGTTCGGGCGAGTTGGTAGTTCATGACGCACGAGGACACAGCGCACCCGTAGCAAACACTCAACGTTCACAGTCACACCAAAAGAAAGGGACACTTACACAGCGCTGACTTCAACTCTTTGTATATTCCCGCCTTTTCTCTTCTTTCACGTCTAATGCATGACCTAGGCAAAGAAAGAAAAAGATGAGGCCTAGGTCATGCATTAGACGTGAAAGAAGAGAAAAGGCGGGAATATACAAAGAGTTGAAGTCAGCGCTGTGTAAGTGTCCCTTTCTTTTGGTGTGACTGTGAACGTTGAGTGTTTGCTACGGGTGCGCTGTGTCCTCGTGAGGGTTGAACACTCTCCACCAGTACACCCAAGCCATTGGCCTGGAATTATCCCCATCTAAATCTTGCTACATGCGCGTCTGCAATAATGCTGCCCGCAAGAAGCTAGGGAAAGACGACCTGGATCTGAAGATGGGTCAACAAACACTCCCCAAAGTTGAAACTATGAGAATTCTCGGCCTCCGAATCTACAAGACCGGCAGTGCCAAAGAGTGGCTCGTATCCATAAAGAAATCAGCCCACTCTATGCTCCACCTTATCAACCGCATCTCCCAGAGACGTGGAGGGGCTTGTTCTGCGATTGCCACGTGCCTCGTGAAGGCCATTTTACAGCCTAGGATAATCTACCAAGCACAATTTCAGAACCTGACAGAGACGCAATGGAACTCGCTGGAAACTGTCGACCGGGCAGCGATGCGCAGCATTACCGGCCTCCCGATGCATACGCCTATTAAGCTGTTACAGTAGCATGCTCACCTGAATACACTACGACAATTATGTGATCAACGCACACAAGCCCGGGTTGCCAAGCATCAACTGTACGCTTCAGAATGTCATAAGGAAACGTCATACATTGAGAAGATACAGCAGCTTCCCCCCTGGAGTTTCTCCTGCCTTACCACCAATAAGACCTCCCGCCGTAAGGCACGTCAAAATCCCAAGGCCTATAATCCAAACCCTTCTTCTCCGGATCACTGTATCCTGTACACGGACGCTGCATGTACGCAAAACGGAGGAGCTACTGCATTCGTCAGTCGCACTCACCCCCACCTTGACGACCAGAAGAAGTTTGCTACATCGGACGCATCTCCTTTGCTGCTTGAGCTACAAGCCATTTATGAAGCCCTTCTCGCAGCCTCCAAAGATCACTCCATTGATCAAGTGACCATCTTCACTGACTCCGCACAGGCCATTAGGCACCTGAAACAGACCAAACAAGCCATGAACATTGTTCAAAAGATCCATCGTTTACGACACCATTTCGCGGTCATGGTCGTCATCGACTGGGTGCAGGGCCACGGCCCTGCAGAGGGCAACATAGCGGCTCATGAGGCGGCCAAACGGGCAGCCCAATCAGAGGACCTGCAGAGCCACACCTTCCCCATGGACATCGTGGCGACACTTCTGGCCACTAAAACCAGGATCCGGGCAAGCACGCGAGCTCTCATACCACCGTGCACCGCCCGGGTTCCCCCTGGTCTGTCCCGGCTCCAGGAGGTGTTGCTCCGGCGCATTCGCACTGGATGCGCTATCAC